TTACTTGTGATATTTTAAGTATATATATAGAGAAAAATATGATTAATCCTCTAGGCAACAAAGACATTTCTGATATTTGCATCTGAAAGTGTGATTGTTGACATAATTGTTCCAGTAACTACAATAAATCAACACTATGCACTGTCTGCTTTGCTCAAGTTGCTAAGTAACTAGAAAGTTTGTTGCTAGTCCATGTTGTTCTAGTTAACTCCCCTTCCAGTAGAATCCATTAGTTTTAAAGCTGCAACATGACGCAAGTAATTAAAGACAACCATACGCAGATGCAGACTCCAGGGTAAGTCTAAGACATGCACTTCCCCTTAATAAATTTAAAAAGATTTACGACAGACCAGGAAGAGGTTATAGCGAATATACTGCCTATCAACAAACGTCTGTTATTATTGTATTATTAATGTAACCCACTGATCTATAAATAATAAAATAATCTAATAATAAATAATTGTGTGTCATATACCTAACAAACCACTGTTATAAAAATAAAGGTAGGCTAGGCTTATGTGACGTGTCATGGCAGCCAATATAAATAATAGCCATTGCCTTACCTAATGCAGCAAAATCCTCCTTTTAGACCTGGTATCATACACGTTGATGATGTCTACGTTATTTAGTCCTGTGGTTATGTCACTTGAGATATGCAACAGACTCAGAGATGACAGTCTCTCCTGGCCCATAGTTGACCGCATCCAATTTCTTACAAATCGCATTGCTGAAAATTATATTTCGCAGGTTGCAGTCCCCATAGGTAATGTCAGTGCCAATTTGAAAAGTTTTTCGAAGCTTGAATAAAATCCAGTCAGGTGTGCCTCCTTCACAAACTCGGGAGAGGACTGCAGTTTCACTAAATTCATCTTAGTACAAGCCAGTTTCAGGTTGATAAAGAGGGTAGTTGTACTGGAGTTATCTTTGCTATTTGCTTTTTTTTCTTTTTGGAAAAAGATTGCATGTCCATGTCAAACATTTTAATTGGCTACCAGCTCAATATCAGCATGTAGATGAAGCTTTTGGCATTTAAAACCTGCATTTTTAGTCAATACGGGATGTGGGTGTCACAAAATACTTTTGAAACCATTTTTTATTATTATTATTTAATGTGAGCAGCACTTAGTAAAAATTGAAATTTATTTATTACACCGAATTTAATTATTAAAAACGCTTATTGAAAAAATTTATTAATTTTATCTGCATGACATGGCATCCATGCAAATATTTTTCCACAGCTGTGCTGCCGATCTAGAGACAGCCATGCTTGTCATCATTTTAATTAGCTGTGGAAAATATTGATCCTGGACCAATAAATATGAACATCTTTTCTCTCGATCAGCAGCTATAATCAACAGCAGGCATAGTTTGAGTGAGAATATACAGAATATATTGAATATAATAAATATTTTTCTCTTTTCTGCTATCTGGTGTTCTCTGGCCAGCTTACACATGCTCCGCCCCTGACCATACATGTTTCATTCAAGATCATTAATGTACATTAATGATGCTACAACCTGCATTATGACAACAAAAGAAACTAGTAAGGTCTGTTTTAGTATACTAAACAAGTGTAGCCTCATTATTTCAGTGTCAAATCACGTTTGTTGTAGTAGTGCTTTATACAGTGCAGATTGTCAAAGAAACAGGTGCTATAAGATTTGGTACATAATAAGACATTCATACACTTCATCACCCCTGACAACAATTTTGGTGATCTAGAAAAAATTAGGTAACACTTTATAATAACTACACAATATAAATTATTTATTAAGCATTATCGAATAGTGAACTCATTATCTGTTAAGCATTAACTCTACATAATAAGCATTAGTAAGCAGTTTATAACTGCAGCTACAAATGCTCTATTATTGACTTACAAATATGTTTATAATGTGCTTAATAATTGTATTTTCATACTTTGGTCATTAATCATTTTTCATTACTAAATTAAGTATCGCATTATTTACAAACCATTTCTATTTAAAAGTAGTTGAGGGTTTCTTAGGATCACTCAGAATGAGTTAGTAAATGATTAATAAACTCTTGAAATCAACGTTTATATGTCTTATTATTCAGGCTTATACTAATGTTTACTATGAATGTTAATAATTGCCTTATTAACTCAACTTTATCTAGTTTTGTGAGCTAATCTAAAGTGAGAACTATTTATGATTTATAAATGCCTTATAAATGACAAATAAAGGCTCGGTTAAATTCTAAACATTAAGAATGACATTATTCATTCCTATTTATTTAAAGATACACAAATGCAACTGAACTTCAAATGAAAAATAAATCTTTGCAAGCTTATCTAAAATAAAATCACTGTTTAAACATAGTTTAAACATTACATCTTATTATATTGTTAAATTATTATATTGTTGTTGTTGTTTTATCCAGTTGGATGTCGTATTTTGACACTCCTGTTATTTGGCAATGTTTAAACTTTACAGTAATTTTACTTTTTAGATAAGATTGCACAGATTATCGTTCATTTGAATCTGAGCCTTTATTTGTCATTTATAATGAAATTATAAAGCATAAATAGTCTTCACTTTAGAGTAGGTCACAAAACTGCATGAAGTTGAGTTATTAAAGCATTTATTAACATATTTGTTAACTATTAGTATATGCCTGAATAATAAGACATATAAACGTTGATTTCGATAGTTTATTAATCATTTACTAACTAATTCTAAATGATCCTAAAAACACTCAACTTCTCTTAAATACAAATGGTTTGTAAATAATGCTATACTTAATATAGTAATGAAAAATAAATCATTAACAAAGTATGAAAGTACAATTATTAAGCACAATATATAGGTGCTTATATGTCAAGAATAGAGCATTTGTACCTGCAGTTATAAACTGCTTACTAACGTTTAATAATTTAGAGTTAATGCTGAACAGATAATGAATTCACTATTTGCTAATGCTTAATAAATGATTTATATTGTGTAGTTATTATAAAGTGTTACCAAAAAATATTCAAATGAATGTAAGCACTGATACAGATGTACGCCCTCCTGTTCTTTGGATTTCAGTGAATTGCCATACCTGATTTTCCATTATATGTAATAAAAACAGATCACACAGAAATCATTTTTATATTTGTAAAAAATCAGCCAAGCTTGGAAATTAATGTCCCACTGCACTCTTGAATATATTTTAACATTTCTAACTTACTTTTCGTGAGGATCTATATGTTAAATTTAAAACATTTGTTAAGTTAAAAACCTTAAAATTCATTGTTAATATGAATTACTCAGTCAAACCTCCTAAGACTTTTACAAATTGGATCACACAATGCAACAATCAATAATTAACAGGATATTTTGTCCTACACTCTCAGAAAAAAAGGTACAAAATTGTACCTTTTAGGGTACAAATGGCCCGTCACTGGGGTGGTACCCTTAAGGGTACAAATTTGTACCTCTATTTAAAGGTACAAAATTGTACCTTCTACATTTGTACCCTTTAAGGGACAATTTTGTACCCCCACCGAAGGTACAAAAATGTGCCTTTTTATATTATATAGCATTTTCAGGGTACTGACCCAGGCATTTTGATCCATTGGTGACTGCATGCACAAATAAATAAATAAAACATTTCGGTTCGCAGATGTCCATTTTTATTTATTAATGTAGAAAATATTTCATTACAACTCACAACTGAATGTGTCAAGAAATAAAATTACACAGTAAGTATAAAGCAGACATGTAAAACAGTAAAAAGAACAATTTAGATAACAAATAAAAATTGTTCACTCACTGTACAGTATATAATCTACCCTTAATACAAAGACCACAAGAATACTGTTTAAGATTTATAAACACATTACACAGGCTACATCAAGTACTGCACTTTATAAAGTCCAAAGTATTTGTTTTGAGTCAGAATACTCAGTCATAATAAATAATTTGTCATCAAAATTTTCTCTGTATTTCAGAATGAAGGCAAACTTTCTCTATAAATTGCTTCAACAGTGCAGAAAACCAAATACATCAGTAGCCTCTTCCTCAACATCAGTAGATTACTCCTCATCATCCTCAAGTGGAGTTGTAATTTGTTGTAACACAATATGTGTTTATGCTTTTGATAAACATGACATGTAAAGCACTCATAACTGGAAAATGTTCTTTGATAGTCATTAGGACCACAAGTTATTTAAAAATTTGCTTTATGCATGAATGATAGCAGTGTGCTGGATTAACTTGATGATTGTGATTATCCCAAGAGCATGTAGAGAAACAAAAAACAAGGTTGATCACTCTGGTAACTGGAGTAGATCGAGGCTTGTCACTGTCCACCGTTCATTCAAAACATTCCACAGCAGAAACATCAAGGTGTTCTTCTAATAAGATGGATATGTCAAAAATGTATATTCGTCCACATCATTAGCCCGGCCAATCGCAATCCCATCAACTCTGAAGACTGCCGTGACTCGTTTTGTTAACACAGTTGTCCAGTCTGTGGTGTCCTCGTGTACTTGAACTGTTGGATGTGGTGAAGATGGTTCACTGTAAATGACAAAGCAATAATTACATTAATATCAGTCACTCTATCACTGATGAAGAGAAAATCAACATGCATAGAAAGTAAAATAATTAATATTTAATGATTAAAAAAAAAGTATCACAGATTAAAAGACTAATATAAATTTCATTCATTCATTCAATTTCTTTTAGGCTTAGTCCCTTTATTAATCTGGGGTCGCCACAGTGGAATGAACCACCAACTTATCCAGCATATGTTTTATGCAGCAGATGCCCTTCTAGCTGCAACCCAGTATTATGAAACATCCAGACACACTTATTCACACACACATTTATACACTACAGACAAATAAGCTTACCAAATTTAGCTATAGTGCATGTCTTTGGACTTGTGGGAAAACCGGAGCACTTGGAGGAAACCCTCACGAACACTGGAAGAATATGCAAATTCCTCACACAAATGCCAACTGACCCAGCCGAGGCTCGAACCAGCGACCTTCTTGCTGTAAGGTGACAGCACTACCCACTGCGTCATCCTAATATAAAGAATATCAAGAATTATAAAATGCATTTATAACAGCATATACTAAACAGAAAACAACATACGCACTTGAGCACAACAAAATGTTAAAGTGTCTCGCTTAACAAGGCTGGCAACATGAGAAGTGCTGCTGTAAAATCAATTCCTGGAACATAAGATGTGGCATACAAACAAATATGAAGGAATCCATCTAAAGCTAGAATTTAATAATATTAATCAAGTGGAGAAATTTTAGAAAGAGTACCTTAGAGTCAGGTCCTTAGAATTCTTCAGTTGATCTCTCATCTTTCGATGAATACCTAGAAAATAATTTTAACACGTGGGTGTACATTTATTGTTGTTTGTAAGTAAAAACCTACAAATTTAAAATAGTATGTAAGCCATTAAAACCATGGTATAGATAATGAGACATACTTACATCTTGTAACTGAGCCATGCTTTCATATGACATGCCTTCATTGGTCTGATGCTGTTAGGCTGCATTATGTTGTTCAATCTTGTCCTGAAATACAATTGGAAACTTCATAAACTTCTGGAAAGCAATAAGATAAAGCAATAACTATTTATTTATTTTGAGATATTAATAAAATAGGTAAAATAGCTCAAGGTAAGTTACCAGTTTCAGAACAAATAAGACAAATTATTACATTAAAGAACAAAGTATAACTTAAAACGTCGATTTATACAACGTGGTATGTTAATAATTATTCTACATTAACATAAGTATAACGTTAAACAATAGTAAAGCACTAACAATTCTGGACATGAGAGTTTGTGGACACTCCTCAACATTAATGTAACTTAGACACTTAAACGAAGATATGTACAAGAATACACACGCCACGTTTGTAACTAGCCACGTTTAACTTACATAATCAGTCGCTTTGCCGGTGACAAAATTGTGATTTTTCTTCACGAAATGGCGGTGTATATAACCGTCTAAAATTACATTTCCTCGGTCAACCGTGGCTAGAAAATGGCCTCAAATTATAAAACATTATCGATAATTACAAATTCCAGTATTAATAACAAAAGGTTTTATATCAAGGTATATGAAGACTTTAGTCGCGCGAGCTCCGGGCCACACCGCACATTACTCACGGCCCGATTCCGGTGCACGGTTACGGCAGCGTTGGCTCACTTCTGCCGCCGCATCTGGCCCGAGTAACGTTACAGCAGACGGACTCGGGCAGGCGAGAATCTAGCCGCAACTGGACCGAGTGTATTTTGCTATGTGGGTTGCGATTATATTCCGCCGTGGCAACACTTATTAATAAAGCAGTTAAGTAAGATATAAGGCGCGAATACGTAACGTAGGCGATAAAGGGAGCTTTTACACCGAGAAAACTAACAGCATATAATACTCACCTTCTATAACGTTATGTCCCTCGGTGACTTCGATATCATATTGTATTTATTTCTTTAATAAGCTGCAGACATCTTAGCAAACTCCACCCTGCAGGCCAACGTACACCAGTGAGCCCGGAGCACTTAAAGCAGGGGAAAGCCGAGACCCGAGAGTCAGACAAAATCAACAGAACACGCGGCTTCACATGTAAAAATGAGACTGAAAATATAACTTTAATACATTCTTACCTGAAAAATGCGGACTCCAAAATAGACTTTTCTTTGAAAAGCGTGCGAAGTTCTGTGTAAACAGCCAGCATACTCTACCGACCGCTGCCTCAGTAACAAACACTACTATAACGTCTCAACAAGCCAAATTCTTAAAGAGACAGCAACATCACCACCTGTATGAAGATGCTGTCAATCTGCATGGTTCTTATTCTACATCCCATATACTATAGGGTCTTAAACAGTAAGCAAAGACCAGTATTTACGTTTTTTATGATTAAAATTACATTCAATTATAAATTAAATTATTAACGTTTTTGAGAATTTTTTAAATTTAAATACATGAAAAAATTTTAATTATAAAAAATATTTAATTCAATCAATTTATTTATTTATTATATTTATAAATAATGTATTTTAGTATTAATGTTTAGTATTAATGCATTTAAATTAGTGTTATATAGTGTCTTGATCTTATCATGAGCTGAGGGTGCAATTTTGTTCCTATAGGGAAACAAAATATATAATTGTACCTTTAAAGGTTCCAAATTGGTCCTTTACGGTACAATTTTGTATCCAAATGTGCTATAAAAGGTACAAAAATGTACCTTTCAAACCTAAATCTGGACATTTGTACCTTTATAGCCCATTTGAGTACAAAATTGTACCCTAAGGACCAATATGGGACCTTTAAAGGTACAATTATATATTTTGTTCCCTCTAGGAACAAAATTGTACCTTCACTGTACCTTTTTTTCTGAGAGTGTAATAGGGCATTATTATTGTGATGCCATGCTAGGTAACGACCTGTCCAGACTAACACCTTAAATCTCTATTCCTTATAGTTGACTAGAAATGCCAAATATGTTCTGACACACGCAACTATTAGCTCTGATTTGTTTTGTGTCTTGCATGTTTTGGTTCTGCCTGATCTTATTCTACATTTCTTATCTTACCTAAATACCTAAAACTACTAACTTATTAAAATGATATAAGACACTTGAAGCTGACTGCTTAAATAAAAATAAAACTGCTTTGAAAAAATACTAATAGGCCCATTAGATGCCCATAAAATACCACTAGGTCTCTAAGGGTTAACTGTTAATAAGCAGTGAATTAGGAGTTTATTGAGTCAAATGCCATAGTTAGTGATTTATCAGTAGTGAACATTCTAGCAAGCAAGCATTCTAAGAGTTTAGAAAAAATTAAATAACTTCATTAATACAATCATTTATAATCAGTTTTCATTTAAAAATGCATACAGTTTGCTACGTTGACTCCTGGTATCTCTGAACAGTAAAAAAGGGAGCATTTGGACAATGTTAAAGACCCCATTTTAGTTTAAAAATGGTGTTCTGTTTCAGTACAGATGGAATGAAACACAAACTTTTGAAAATGGTTGTGCAGATATTCACAATCCCTGTCTGATTGGTCTTTTGGACTATTGTGTATTGTTCCCTGATACATCAAGCCCTTTTCATATCACCATTATTGAATGATTATTGATTATTACCCAAGTGATGCACAGATGCCTGAATTATATATATATATATATATATATATATATATATATATATATATATATATATATATATATATATATATATATATATATATTATTTTTTTTAAATGCAACAATAACGCAGTTTAAAAAAAAAAAAACGGACTTTAGTGTAAACGGTACCTTAGACCTTTGCCATTTGACTAAAAGGCATCACACCTCAGAATAAATTGAATGAAACAGCATTGCCCCTCAGACAGAAAGCTTTTAGGTTTCAGGAAAGGTGTCAGGTAGGTATCAGACAAGGCATCAGATGAAATGGCATCAGGCAAAATTGCCTCAAACCAAAAATGCATTGGACAAAACTGTCTTAGTGACTTCTAGAAATTATTTGTTTAAAATTATGCTTTAACACCGTTTAAAGGACAAATATGCCATAACTACTCTTAAAAAAATATAGACACATAAGACGGCAATACAGCGGTATGTTTTCAAAAGATACATGTTTATACCTAAAGGGTTTATATTTGTATCTTAAAGGTACTGTACACATCAGTACCTTAACAGTAAATTAGTATACCTTTTGAAATGACTTGTTATTAGTCTGCAAATCACCAAAAGAGGTGTTTTTCTCTAAAATTACAAATAAAATAATAATAAATATATTAATAAAAAAATAAATATATTAATGTTATACTTGCTGTTTATTGTGTTTTTACTGGCACCTGCAAGTCATTTTTTGCACTCAATCCTGAGGTCTTTAGTACATGCATTTTGTTGTGCTTCTAAATATGTTGCATTACTGGTTTGTCCAGTCTCAGAGGCCTGAGATGCAGTGCTTTTTATTTAAATAAGTCTGAGATCATCTAAAAACCTAAACAGTAAACAAAATCTCCATAAAACAGTTGGAATCATTGGGTTTTGAAAATGATTTAATCTAAGGCTTAATTTAAAGATTGCTTTACGACTATGTTAAATTCAGTGGTATCCAACTTGACTAAAGGTCTATTATAGCTTGCCTGGGGTGCGTTTAAAAAAAACCATCATTGGGCAACTAAGGTGGCAAGTTCTGTCATTACAAACATAGTTTGTTGATTTGGCATTTCCGAAATCTGTTGTTCCAAAAAACATTCTGCTTCACAAACTTGTACGTTTGCAACTACACCTGAAGAGCTGTAGTTAGAAACAGAGTTCTTGGTTGTGTTCTATCTGCTTGTTAAGTGTTGACGTGTTTGTGACGTATGTATACTGTTTCCGGGTCCAAGCTGCCATTCATTTGAGTGGAGAAATCATTCGTTTATGATCATGTTTTATTCCTATCACACATTAACGTTACTTTTATATAAAATCATAGTGTACACAACAATCTCTGGGCTTGCTGCATAACAAATACCAGAAAATTTACAATTTATAAAAAAATTTATCACTTTCTGGCCATGGGATATTAGTCATGGACATATATACTGCAATCGTGATTTTCGTAAGCCTTAAATCGCTTTGTTAACGTTTATTATTACCATTTCATGAGTCTCCCCATTCAGTTCAATAGAGCACTTGGACCTGGAAGCCACTTCGCGTGACGTCACACTTAACAAGCGGACTCCCAGTTATCCCCCTATGCCCTATTCCTTTCCAATGTTCCAACATTTAAACTTGGAATGATTTAAAAAATAAATAAATAAATAAATAAATAAATAAATAAATAAATAAATAAATAAATAAATAAATTAATTAATTAATAAATTAATAAATTAATAAATAAATAAATAAATAAATAAATAAATAAAAGATATTTCTAAGGTGTAATTAGGTGTAAGTATTTTTTTACAGTCCAGTTCAGTCTAATTTGGCTAAATATAAATTAAGTAGATTAATAGTAAGTAGCTTGGTAAGTGGCAGGTCATAGCAAATGTTTTTTTTTTTTTTTTTTTTTTTTTTTTTTTTTTTTTGCTAGGTAAATCTCTAGAACTTTGCATTTTGTTGAATTAGTGGTCCATATAGTAATTTTAGACTTTCTAGAGACTTTCTAGAGGGTAGAAGGGTAGAAGGTAAACTACTGACTACATATTTTTTATATATATATATATATATATATATATATATATATATATATATAACAATTATAATTTCCACCAAAAAAGATTATGGGGATTTTCTCTAAAGAAGTTCTTACTTACATTTTAGAGCATCATTATG